TTGGTGGGAAGGTAACAGTGTTCCATGCGCCTTTGCATTTAGTCATGCCGGCCACATGACCACGGAAACGTCTTCGGACAGCGCTGGCTCTTTAGCTTGGAAATGGAGATGAGCACCGCAACCCTAGAGTCGGATTCAACTGGCTTTTGAGCAAGGGAAACCTTTACCTTTTCCTAACTTCTGTGTTAAACTTCTTTAATTAGTCCTTTTCTGCACAACTTTCATGGATATCCCTATGAGAGGCTTGTTTCATATCTTCTGTTGGACCAGAGCCCTTATATTATTTATTTAGTAGCCAAGTATCTTCTAATTGCTATGAGGATTCAGGGAGCATAAGGTAAGATCCTGTGATGGGGAACTTCTCCCTTTGTAATGCTAAAATCATACTTATTTTCTTTCTTGTTATGTTTATCATTTATGCCAAGAAAGATAGATTCAGGTGGGTGGCCATGTCGGTCTGAAGCAGCAGAACAAAGTTAAGTCCAGTGGCACCTTTAAGTTTTATTTAAGGTATAAGCTTTTGTGTGCATGCACGGTTCTTCAGATATGTGTTGTATCTGAAGAAGTGTGCATGCACATGAAATCCTATACCTTTTTAGTCCTAAAGGTGCCACTGGACTCAAACTTTGTTCTTTGCCAATAAAGGGACTGAACTGAACTGTCAACTAACTGGGTCTGGAATGATGAACAGATGATAGGAATCTATGTAACTGTTCATTCTAGGGCTGCCAAGTGGGGGCGGGTGGCGGCACCGGCGTAATCTTCGCGGGGGCTGGGGGGCTGGCGCCCCCCCGAAATTTCCCCAGAAGCCCCGCCCACCCCTCGCCCTCCCAAGTTATGCGGACTCTGCGGGTGACCCGGCCTCACTCAACTGGAGTTCCGTGCGGCGTGCGCTCGTGACCGGGAGGCGTCCTCGACTCCTCGTGACTTCCCTAGCAACGGCGGCACCGGCGCTGGAACGCCAGCCGCAGAAAGTTGGTTTGGGGTGCCCCTTTCAGCCACCTGTCACGTGACGTGACTACTCTTCTCGCCGCCGTTTGCCGTTAGGCGCCTTCTTCCGGGCGGGAAGGATCCGGATTGTGAGAGAACCGCGGGAGGGAGGGCGAGTCACGCTTCAGGCAAACGGCGGTGACGGGGAACGTGAAAGTAGCGACATGTCAACCAACAACGTCGGTTACAACGAGCAGGTCGGGGACGCTCAGCCCGAGGTGGGTCAGGAGGCGGCGCCCACCACAGCTCCATTTACTGCACTCACTTCTTAACCAGCCCCGTTTACAAGGGGGCGGGGAGGTTGTTGTTTGTGGAACAGAAGTGCTTGGAATGGGGAAAAAATGAAGTGCCCATTGAGAGTGATCGGCCCCTCCTTTCAGTTTGCATTCTTTAGGCTGTAAGTCTCATCGAATTTACCTCCCCTCATTTCAGGGAAATCGCCGTTTCTCCCGGCGACCTCCCAAAGGAGTGAGTGAGTCCACAGTCTGACGGGCCCTCCCGGGCGGCGGCATGAGCGCTCACGTGGCGCTCGGACTCGGAGGCGTTCCGAAGGAAGGCTTCGCCCGCGAGCACAGCCCTGAAAGGTCCGCCGGGAGGAGGGCTGCCAAGCTTCCGGCGGCGGCACCTGCGGATCTCGAGAGCGCCCCGCAGACCCCTACCCCCGGGAGAGAATGGCCGCTCTTGGGAAGGGGGCCCCCACTAAGACCCCGCCCCTCCTCAGGCTCCACCCCCCGTCTCCCACCCGGGGATTTCGCCTCCCGCTCCCTGGAGAGCTGCCACCTGCCCTCCCGGGCTCTTTCTGAGAGGCCTCCGCGCGCCGGGTTGGGAAACACTGGGGGGGGGAGCCTGAGGAGGGTGGGATCAGGGGAGGGGAGGAGCTTAGGATTACAGCATGAGAGAGTGGGAACTGGGACCTTGCAGGTCATCTAGCCCAACCCCCCCTCTAGTCCTTCATTGAGTCTGGGGCATTTTTTCAGACTTGGACTGTGGTTTGGGCTTGGGGTGTGTTTTGTTGG